ATTGTTTTCTTTAAGCTTGTCAAATATTTTCTTCATGAGTTCAATATGATCTTTAAAAGTACTGCTGTAAATTAGAATATCATCTTGATAATTACAAACACCGTTCCAAAGAAGATTTCCAATAATATGCTGAATTATTCGCTGAAAAGTACTTGGAGCATTTTTCAAGCCAAATGGCATAACCAAAAATTCATAATGCCCGTCATTTGTAATGAAAGCAGTTTTCTCAACAGAGTCTGGATGTATGTCAACATGCCAATAGCCCCATGCTATGTCAAGTGTTGTGAAGTATTTCGCATTATGTAAGCGATCAAACATATCTTGGATGTATGTCCTTTGTGAACCATCCTTTTTAGAGACCAAGACTACGGGGAAGGCCCAAGGTGACTGAGATTCTCTTATTAGTCCCTTTTTACTCAATTCTTCAACTTGTCTTTTTATTTCATCATATTCTGCAAGTGGTCTTCTATATGGTCTACAACTGATGGGTGGATGTTCAATTGTATGGATCTTGTGTTGAACAGCAATCCTTCCGATGTCAGTTTCATGCTGGCTGAACAATGCTTGATTTTCTTTAAGTAATTGATTAAGCTCTTTTTGCTGAACAGATAGAAGATGCGTTTCAGGAGATATATAAAAACATTCATTTCCTTTAACATACACCGCTTTGTCTTTTGTGTCAATTATTAATCCAATTTTTCCTGCTACATCAAGTCCAATAAGCAATGGATAGCTAAAGTTTTTCACTACATGAAGCTTACACCCGACAAGTTTAGAATGGATTTTCAAAAATACTTCTACTGATCCTAAAGTGTATGCAAAACTATCTACTTGTTTAATTTTGATTCTATCGTTTACATTCAATCTTAACTTATGTTGTTTTAAAAGCGAACAGCTCATTAATGAAATAGTTGACCCGGTATCAATAAAAGATGAAACTGGAATATTATTAAGTAAAACTTCAACATTAACAAATCTATAAGGAAAATTGGTATTTGCTATGCAAAGTGAATCAGCTATGGTTTGTTTAACATCTGTGGTGATATTAGTTGCTTGGTGTTTAAGCTTGTCTTTATAATTAGGATCATAATCTTTGCAATCACTTATCCAATGTTTAAAATACAATCCTTTTTTCTTACAAATAGGACACCAATATGGGCAATTTTTTGAGATTGTAGGTGTAGTTATATTAAAAACCTTGGTTTTACTTCTCTGTTGTTGCCTTATTTGATTATTGTTTTGTTCAATCTCAAGGGCAATCTGCATCCAATGTGATGGATCTTTAGGCTGGGCTGTTACGAGATAATTTTTCCAATCTAATGGCAATCCATCCGTTAACATTTTTAGCTTCTCGACATTATTGAGGCTTGTTTGATTTAATAATCTAATTTTATCTCTAAAATAATCTTCCACGGTTTCTTCTTTTTTAAGTCTTCTTTTTGATGCTGCAACTATAGGGCTTTCAACTTTATAACCAAAGCGCTGAATTAATTTGAGTTTAACAGTATCCCATTTTTTAATGGATGCGTTGCTCAATATTTCATCAGCAAACCATTCTAAATCATCTTTTGATAAATAATAAATTAGGTTATTGATTCTATCAACTTCATCTAGTTTATTAGTTTCCAATTCATATAGTTTAAGCCATGATTCAGGCCGAATTGAACCTTTATCACCGCTAAATTTCTCTAATTTGTTTACATTCGCTGCCATTGTACTTACTTTTTCTTTCGTCGAAGCCTTTTTTGATTTATATTTTAATCCTTTCGTAGCTGCGCCAAATATTTTATGTAACGTTTAATTTTTGCTTTAACTTTTTAAAGAAATGTTTTATTTTAAATCTTTATCTAATTTGTTGTTTGTTTTAAATAAAGAGGCAAATTTACCATGTTGTTGTTCTTTTGTGTTTTATTGTTCTTTTTTTCCAATGATGATAAGAGTTATTGATCACACATTAAAAATCAATGAAAAACCAATTACAAAATTAATTACAAAATTCAGAAACGTGTCAATATAATTTACATTTTTGAATGGGATATAAACTCATGGACAAATATTTTTTAGACAGAGACAGAGGCAATTCACACTTGATTATCTCGCGTATTTTCAGTAAATATCAGTGTGTATCAAATAACAAAGTTGCTTTCTTAAGTTTTGTGCTAGAGTGTAACGTTGAAATTATTTTATTGGTTTAGATATCTTTGAATTTTTGGGCAGTATCATGTGCCATGTAATCTCTCTATATCGCACCACTTTCCAATTGTTGAAACAACCTCTCGCTACAATATCTTTCTTTTTAGCTAAAATAGATCTATTCGGGATTCAGGGTAAAATTGTGAAAGGCATTTAAAGCCACTACCTCTCTATTTCTCCTTTTTTATTTAAACCTATATAATATATTATGGATGATGAGATATAAGCTAATCACGTACGCGTTACGGGCTTCTTGATTAATCAAAAAAGTGTCATTGGAATTCTCTAATAATTAAAAATTAGCGATTAGTTTATATTTATTCCGACAGATGGTGCAAGCCATCAAATATTTTATTTGTACGATCAGAAGATGCCTTTTCACCTGATCCTAATGAAATTTAATTTTGTACTATATTTTTCACCCATATATATAGGAAATTTTCAGGGAGGAAGTTGATCTATAATGGCATAGGGCGCCTCTCCCGTCAAAACAAGGCACAATCTATTGTCCGTTGACGCGGCCTACGGTCGGTGACAATACCACAACATCAGTTTTGGCGAACTGAGAAGCAATCCCCTGGAGATCATGGTTTCGGAATAATGGCCCTCATCATGCCTTTACAGATCAAATTACTCTCAGCAAAATTCCCATTTATATTTTAGAGATAGATATGACCTAGCCACTTTTCCAGCTTAATACCTCTTTGACAGATAGTGAAAATTCCATCAGATCCCGTGTGGATCTCATGGTGCTCTTCCTATTCCTCTCATTTCCAACCTAGCAGATATAGGTGGGAATGGAATCACAACTCTTTCTTTGATTATTCTCTTCAACCCGCCAGAGATGGTTGAGGATGGTTTGGGAGCCTTTCATCTCATAAAATCTCATTCTCAAATCACAGAAGTTGGAACGAACGGTATAGCATTTGTCTCGAACTCCCAGCCTACTAAAGCTAGATGGTACAGTGGTCATCCGGTATTTTTCTCTCGTTAAGTCACTAAGGAAAGATAGTGAGAGTTGATTACTCTGGAGTTTACTCTCGATAAAACAATCTCCCCAAGAAATATTTTTTCTTTAGAAATAAGGCATCTCTTGATCGTGCAACTAATATTTGCTGATGGTTTAAGCCGTTTGTCGGAAAAAAAATCAACTCCGTGAATTTTCAATTATTCCAGAGTTGGCCGAATACCCTTTCTTCATTAAACAAGAAAAAGTAACCACGTACGTATTTCGGGATGATTGACCTCATCAGCGTTGTGCAAGCTGCACCTCAATGACTAAAAAACTTAGTCTTTGAGGCATCTCGAAAAAATCATAAAAACAGGTATAAGGGCGTGGTGAGCTAGTCAAACTATATATCAAAATATATTGAACTAGTTCAAAAGCACTTTTTTACTATTATTATACTAATATTTTTCACATCTTTTGTTTGTTCCAAGTTCCATCTGCCTTCTCCCAGTACTCTTTACACACATTTCCTATAAAAACGGACTAAATATACTCTTCCCTATAATTGTTTGTGATTATCTAGAAGACATTTTAGGTGTTCTAATATAAATAATACTATTATATAATGTTGCGAATCGATGAAAGTGTTAATTTACTAATACAACTTTATGAAAGGCGGAAAATGTGCTCAAACATCGGCAACGATGGCGGACTGGAGTGAGTACCCTCCAAAAACAATCAAGGGAATATGATCTCCAGAATTTACCTTAGCGGGGGAAGAACCGGAACTTCTAGGTGATCACGTGGTATCCGTCACGTGCCATTACCCAGGACGGACTAATGACGTCATTTCCGCCCCACACCATTACATCGCGGTAAGGTGCAAATATTCCTCCATTGCTAAATCTCCAGCCCAGAGTGCTGCCCTCAACCTACCGTGATGTTTGCCAAGTCTCGGTCCTTCAATGCTAAATCTCCAGCCCAAAGTGCTTCCTTCAACCTACCGTGATGTTTGCCAAGTCTCGGTTCTTCAATGCTAAATCTCCAGCCCAGAGCCCTCAACCTACCGTGATGTTTGCCAAGTCTCGGTCCTTCAATGCTAAATCTCCATCCCAGAGTTGTTCCTTCAACCTACCGTGATGTTTGCCAAGTCTCGGTTCTTCAATGCTAAATCTCCAGCCCAAAGTCCTCCCCCAATCTATCGTGATGTTTGCCAAGTCTCGGTCTTATAATGCTAAATCTCCATCCCAGAGTTCTTCCTTCAACCTACCGTGATGTTCTCCAAGTCTCGGTCCTTCATTGCTAAATCTCCAGCCCAGAGTGCTCTTCAACCTACCGTGATGTTTGCCAAGTCTCGGTTCTTCAATGCTAAATCTCCAACTCAGAGTGCATAATCATGTGATGGCTAAAGCCTACAACGTAGATAATTGGGTAGAGAAGGGAGACCTTCAATCCTTTGAATCTCAAGAATATTTTTTAAAAATTTAAATTTTAGCCGCGCGCACGGACGTATGTCCATGTTTATTTCCGACGGATTGATCAACCTAGAATGGCATTTTAGTCCCACACTATGGTCCCACGAAGAAGACAGTTCACATAGTAAGAAGTCAAGCAAGCATAAAGCCACCAATTCTACAACAAAGGTGATATTCCCTCTGGTTCAGAAGCGGAAAGAATGAGAAAGCTTACAGTTTACAAAAAGATATGTAAAACGACATTTGAAATACTATCTCGCATGTGTTTCTTTCCAACGAAAAATCAAAATTTATTTTAAGGAGAAATAACGACCATTTCCAACCTTTTGGATGAGGTATAAAAGGATGAATTGTGAAGAGCAATGATGAACGGAAAAATAAAAGTGTCCAGGGATGGGAATCGAACCCACATTGTTCCGCTTACCGGGCAGATGCCATGACCAGGGTAGCCTAGTGGACATGGCATCTGCCCGGTAAGCGGAACAATGTGGGTTCGATTCCCATCCCTGGACACTTTTATTTTTCCGTTCATCATTGCTCTTCACAATTCATCCTTTCATACCTCATCCAAAAGGTTGGAAATGATCGTTATTTCTCCTTGAAATAAATTTTGATTTTTCGTTAGAAAGAAACACATGCGGGATAGTATTTCAAATGTCGCTTTACAATCACAAGCCGCATTATATTATATTGTAAAAAAAATATGTATAGAGTGAAAAAGGTTTTCATAAAAATATTTTATTCCGAGATATAAGAATGAAGTGTGAAAAATAATCTATAAGATGTGAAAAATTCAAGAAATTCAATAGTATTATTTATGCAACTGTATAATAACAAAATACGAATGTAGCCCCTCATCATTTCTTTTCTAGCAGCATATTTCATGATTTTCCACTAGTCCACCGTACTTCAAGCACTTTCTCCGTATTTACCTCCCACAGAGGATTAGAATTGAAGAAATAAAATCATTATTTCTTCGTTTACAAGATTAAATAATTTGAACTAACACATACTATATTTAGAGAATATACGAATATACGTATATAATAAATATATGTGAATATAAAATACTATAAGCTGAAATAAACTGATAAATAACTATATAATTTTTTTTTTTGCCCACCCCTAGTACACGTGGTACAGGCCATGATAATCATGGTGGGTAGTTAGCGACTGCTTTTACTGTAAGCGCACCACATGTCTACACATGTGAAAAGCAGTTCGACTTTGCACTTACAAATGTGCCTGAGCGCCGTTTGGTTACTTGCACTCGCTGGTGGGGTTGGACCTTTGCAAGAATCGAGGGCCATTGGAGAATTTTTTAAACAGAAAAAAGTGTCCAATGCGGGAATCGAACCCGGGTTGTAGTGGTCGAAAACTAAACGGTTTAACCAGCCTTTCACCGACCCCCATACAATTAATATGATATTTTATAATTCAAAACTGTGCAGTAGGATATAATAATTCTGGAAAACCTACACACACCTCTGCCTCTCATTAAATGTATTTTAGAAGATAAGTGACCTATTTACATATAAGATTTTGTATATGCATTACATATATTATATATGCAACAAAGGAGACACCCCTCTTTTGAAAAATTCATTACAACAGTGCATTTTGTTTATCATTCCAGTACCAAACCGTAACCAGAAAAAGAATATATTTTATATCTCTTTTCAAAATCGAAAATAGATCATTATTAATATTTTAATATGATAATGAAAAATGATGAAAATTTTCACAATTAGTCTATCTACGATACAATAAATATGAATTATTTACCTTAATATAATTTTATAATCCAAATATAATAATGAAAAAAAAGGATGAGAGAGTCTTAGAAAAATTAATTTTTCAGAAAATATTTTCGACAAAAAAATGTCTCCACCAACTCTTGAAAGAAAAAAAAATGAAAAGGCCAAATTCCATAAACCATAAATATATTTTCTAAAAAATACTATCGGTAAAATAAGTCAGTTTTGGGGTTTAATCTTTATTTAAAAGGGGGGAAACTTGCTTTGGTATTTTCCAATTTTATTTGGTTCGGTCTATTCAAAAGTTTATTCCTTTTTGGCGGGAAAGTTAAACCTAATTCAAATGACTTATGCAAATGAATTCTGGTCGAAAAAAGGCGACAACTTACACCCCCTCCCCTACACACAGACCTCCCTCCCCATACGGCCCTTGTATTGATTCGATATTGGTTGCGAGGGGAAAGTCTAATGTCACCTTCGAACTCTTGTTTTTTTTTTTCGTCTGCAGAGAATTTTACGTTCGTTGGATTTTCCTTCCTCTTTTTTTCGTCTGCTGAATTTATGTGGGTAGGATTTCTCGCTCTTTTTTGCATCTTATATTCATAGAATTGTATATATGTTTTCTCGCGAATGTATATTTTATATTATTGAATATATATAAACATATATATGTTGTAAATAATTTCACCATATTATTTTCTACATAAATTATATTTTTATTAATACTTTATTGTTTATTTCATAGATGTGAACTCTGTGATGCTGAGAAGTCCAGACGGCGCTAATGTAGATATATATATATATTGTTTTTTTTTTTGCTTAGTCGAATTAGTTAGACTTTATTTGTTATTTAATATGTAAATTTACTATATTTTTGTTTAATTAAGTTTTTTTTCTCTCAAGATTGAGTTATTCTACCTGTTAAGATTCCTCAAGTTTGTTATTACCATTAATATTGTAACACTTTGACGATTGGTTACTAAATAAACCCGTCAAGAGTGGAGTGTTTTGATATTCTTTAATCAAAAGGCCTCGACTGCTCAATCTCATCTCACCACCAGCACCATTTCTTTTTAATAGAAATTAAAAATATATATATTCTTCAATAGATTATGAATATATGTATGAACTTATAATAAATGAGTGGCATTTTTTTCATCTAGAAAATTTAATCAATATAATATATTCTCCTTTATATTTAGTTCAAAATTATTGATATTCGTTTTTTTTTTTCAAAGTAAAAAGAAGAAATAAATGGACATATACAGAAAGTGCTATGTTTTTCAAATATGTTGCCAAAATAGACTTTTGTTTTTGTTGTCTTGTCCTTTAGGCGAAATTTATTTGTGAATTTTACACAATTATAGAATAATCATTATATAGTCTGATTAAAAACCTCATTAATAATTAACCTTTAATAGATTACTATATAAGCAGAATGATCAACAAACTATCTGTATCGATTTGTTGCATTAAATTGTCGTAATCACTGAAAAGGTTTTTGACTTTGCTTATAATTTTTATAGAAACTGATTCTAAGAATATTAATCAAACACTATATTTATTGATATAGATAAAGAATTCTTCCTGGATTGAAATTAGACGAAAAACATTGTGAAGGAAGAAGAGTTTATTTTATTGATGAATAGGTGCAAGCTTTCGGGTAAAAACCCTTCAACAGACGAGCGCGACTTATAAGAACCCGAAATCTTGCACCTATTCATCAATAAAAGAAACTCGTCTTCCTCCACCATGTTTTTCGTCTAAATATCTTTATGGATTTACAAGAAAGAGAACAAAATAGATGAAAAACTTATAACAATAGTAAAACAAAGAGAAACTCAGCTTTTTACAGTTAGCGCCTATTTACTTGTGATCTTATACACATACTCTGTGAGAACAATTATTTAATTAAACTAAAAATATATAACAAAAGGGGGCGACTATCAAAGGAAATTGTACCCCAGACCAAACTCTGGTGTCGGACCGTGTTCTGGGCGACAATCAGTGCATCGGCGTACGGTAGTTGGGTGGTTCAACGACAATATTACATGCTTAAATGTATTTCCCTTCAAATCACGGCTTCATAATCCTACATGTCAGCATGTCCCTATAATAGCAGCTGGAAATTACTGTTGAAATTATTAAAATCTAAATTATAGCATATATATTAATTTTTCTTTAATTAAACAGAAAACTTAATAACTTTTTTGGAGGGGGGAGAAGTACGACCACACCTGCCTGCGGTCCCCCCTGGACCCTTGGAATATTCGACCAAATTCTGGTTCGTTTCCAAGGTGACTAACGTGGCAACGGCACCCATTTTCCAATGAAGAGCGAAAGAGCAGCAGCTTTACACACCCAAGATAGTGGATATTGCTGCTGCTGTAATGGAGATGCATGGAGACATCTGAGACTCTTCTTTGGACACGACAACAACAACACAACTTAATTTTTCTATGAATTGTATAAAAAGTACAGAGTAAAAATGTTTTGAATAGGAGTGATATATAGTATGTTCTAACTTGCTATAAATTTTTGCATGGCTGTAAAAAAATAATATAATTTAGATGTGTTAAAATATTTTTTTTCTTTTAACCAGCGGTGGTGAATGAATTCTAATTACTAGATCCCTGATAACACTTACACAACTGTACACAGAAAAGTTTCTACTGCCCGTCTTCGATGCCTATACAACACTACCTTGGGCGAGCGAAGTATACGAACGGAAGTCAAAAGAACAGTTTTTAAAAGGCTATAACTGAATTTTCATTGCTTAGGATTTGATAACTGTTCTGAGCAACGTCAAAGTGTCGTTTGTATTTCTCTTTGGTAGTTGAGACAGCTTTTGCACTCAGCCTTCGAGACTTTAGCTTATTAGCTTAAATCAAATATTTCCATTACGCATCCTTATAATGTATCCTATTTATGATTGCTACCACGGATGAACTTGAGATCATCGTGTGCCTCTTTGTTTCGATAATTCACATATTCTAAGGAATTTAATCTGTATATCCGATTGTCCGATCGTTACAACCTCAATATCAGTGTCAAACTCCCTTTGATCGTGATTTTCTCGTTCAAAAATTCTCATAGAACACGCAGCTCAAGTGTTTGAGAGAGAGGGTGAACAAAAAAAAAACATTTTAGAAATAACAATTCCAAAATTGATAAACCTTTTATCGGATAAAATTTAAACTTTTTCTTATCAATAATGTCTAGTTTTGAATAAAATAGTCAAAACATCTTATCTGAGAAAATCCTCAAAATTGAATAAATATTTTAAAATTATATCTATTAAATTTCCCTACACAGACCTCTTGTATATCTATTAATATATTAACAATTCTATATATAAATTATTCAGATAGCTTCAATAGTAATAAATATATATTTTTTAAATAACATTTATATATCACACTTTATTTTGAATATATTTGAATTAGTTGAAACATTTTTCAACAACAAAAAATACGATTCAACTAATAAAAAATTCGAAAGATTTTAACATGAAGGTAAAATAATATTTTTACTTTTCTTATAAATCGGAGACAAGACTTTTTTATCATTTCGCAAAGTGGTGATTGAATTTTTAAAATGGTTAATTAGGCTGTCAAATGAAATATCTGAGAGAGAATGGGAAAAAATGAATAAATGCAATGTTTAATTGGTTCCGATAGATGGGAATTATTTTAAAAGATTTTCATTGATTTTTATTGTTTTTATCACAGAATGGGGATTTTTCTCTCTCTTTT